GCTCATATCGGTAGAATAAATCATTCTCTACATGTGATGTAGGCAATGAAGACGAATAGTCCTCTCTTGACTCTGCCATGTTGGTTGTTCAAGTTATTCGGTCATGGGGTATGTTTGGGAGAGAGATATATAATATACCACCGCATTACCGAAATCTTATACTTGGAGTTGAAAATAGAATTTTTTTTTTTCTCATTCTGAACAAATTGAGGATCGTCAATCTATACAATCGGTTCTTTATGTGTTCCATCTCCGATCTTTGCCTTGTTGGTTTTGAGTAGAATATTTCGTAGAACGTCTCATACATCTAACAAACATCAGCAAGTCAAGTAGAAAAGACTCGATATATGAGGCCATCTTCAGTTGTGAGTTGACACTTAGATATGTATTCGATACAGAAAATTGTGTAGTTTCTTTGTTAGAGGCGAGGAACTGGTATTTGGCGGCAGGGTGGTTAGTCTTTGTCGGCTCGCAGCAATGCTAGAATGGATATCGTGAGTTTCCTTTGTCTGCACCGTCGAGTGCACAAACCGCATCACCCAACAATATCCTCAATAGTCATGCGGCAGCTTCATGTGAGTGGGTTTCGGGGCAAAAAGTAGAAAAGAAAAAAAGACAAGGCTCGACAGAAAATCTAGAACTATGGGAAGATATCAATCAAGACATCTCCATACTCCGTGTACGACAGCTCATTCTGTTCAATATCAAAATCATTCCAATAACCCCCTCCAACAAGCCCACCACTCTTTTTCCAATCAGAAAACTTCATCTTAGCCTGCGTACTAGTGGTGCCATCCGCAGGCTTCGACTCGTTCGTAACCCAAAGAAGCGGAACAACGTCAAGACCGAGGACATCAGCCCAGCTAGTAGGATTATTCCCCATGCCGCCATCATAGCATTGTAAATAAACACGATCGAGTAACAAATTCGTCAGACCGGCATTCGCCTGACGAATAAGCTCAGCCCAGAAGTCTGAATTCGTGTACGGTGCAATCGTGTATATATACCCGATTTTCCCGAGCATTTGCGCAAAATCAACGGTGCTGTTGATGTCGTAGATGGATTCGTCGTCGTTGTTTACGGCGTCTAGATCCCACGCTTGCTTTAAGGCGACGAAGTTGCGGTATAATGGTGTCGAGGGTCCGGGGCCGGGACTCGCCATTAGGGCTTGTATGTTTTGCGAATTCATGGAGATTTCGACTCGGTTGAGGTCTGTCGTCCCGGTTTTCAACGATTGGACTTTCACGGCTAGCGCGTCGCCGCCTACGTATGTGCCATTCGATGCGGCGAGGACATCGCTGCTTCCAGGTGTGTTTGAGTAATACTTCATGAATGGTATTAGTACAATATGAGACTCGTGAAGTTGTTGACGAGCGGAATGATATGTATACCATGATGTCCCCGGTCTCAGTAACGCCGACACCGAAGATCACGGCCGTGTTGAAGCCAGAGGTCTTTATCGCGGTGGTGTTTGATTTCATCACATCTTTAAAAAGGTATAGCGCCCTGATGTTCGACGCGAGGGCTAAAGTAAAAGGTTGTAAGAGCCACTGGGAGAGCAGTGCTCCGAGGAATAAAGAATATTTCATCTTCCGAAACGTATCCTGTTACTCGCTAGAAACAACAAGGATACGGGTTTCGTGCGCAAATGAAGTCCACTCGATTCACCCTTCGGTTGCATCGACATCCATAAGTACTGGGGGTGACCCAGCACATGCGATGAGTCTCCAGCTAGGTCACCTGGTTCGACGACCTCACAATCTTGCTGCTCGTCTAAGGCACCGAGGTTAGGGACAGCTCACGAACATTGTCGCGAAAGAACCTCCTGAATCAGGAAAGGGGTGCACACTAATAGGCCCACTGCTTGGAAAATCACTGCTTATCTGGGCTTTTGACCGAATAATAACTGGATGACCCCAATTCTCGCGGTCGTGATGCGACGTTACTCCTCTCTTCGTTCCCCTCGGACACGGAAGATCAGGATAAGGGAATCCGTCATCAGGAACGGACACCGTAAGCAGACCACTAATATAAAGTGGGCAATAAAACAGAAGAATGTGATGCAGGTGGAAGATAAGGTGTTATGAATTAAGTTACCTAGGTATTCATACATTGTGTAGATAATAGGACGTAATTGGTGATGAGATATATCATATACATTCGAAGTGGCCGTACGGGATGCATTAAGGTTAAGTGTTTCAAAACACTTTGCTTTGGGATGCTTATAAGCTTTTCCAGAGCCGACGCCATAATGGCAGATAATCGAGATCCGACTCAGGTTTATAAACCTCTAGGTCACGTCGTCGTCCTGACAAGAGATCAATCTCGTCCAAGCGCCAGTACCGAGTCTTGTTCCAAAATTTGAATACGGCGTATATGACGGCGAAAAGCGGCAAGAGGATATAGGCGTCCACAAAGGGCCCGGCTTTGAAAGGTGCAAAGTTTACCCAACCTTGCACAAGGGCGAGGAATATGTTGGCCAAAAGCCCAAACCAGGCGTTCCAAGGATACCAAAGTGATTTGAAAGGGAGATCATCGACAGAATATCCTTGTGCTTCCCATGCTTGTCGGAATCGAATGTGAATAAACGAGATAGATCCCCAGACGAGGAACGTAGAGACTCCCGATAAGTTCACGATATATGTATAGGCGTTTGCGGCACCGGTAGAGATGTTGAGCAGTGATAGGGCACCAAATGCATTTGCAAAGGTAATTGCAGGAATTGGCACACCGCGGCGATCTGTCCAGCCAAGAATTTTCGGGGCTTTTCCGTCCTGGGCCATGTAGAGAACGGTTCTCGAGGCGATGTAGATGGAACTGTTGACGGCCGAGATGCAAGTTACAAGAATGAAGGCGTTGATAAGATGCACACCTCCCTCCCATCCGGCATTCTGAATGGCAATTGTCATAGGACTTTGCAGCGCTCGGCTCTTACCATTGATAAGGCCATCTGCATTTGCTGGGCATGTAAGTCCGAAGAAGAAAGCAGCTCCGAGGTAGACGAAGATGATGCGCCAGAAGACCTGGCGAATTGCTAACGGCACAGCCCTGCCTGGATTCTTGGTCTCAGTCGCGGCTACGGCGACAGATTCAACTCCAGCATAGAAAGTGCTACAGAAGACGAAGACCTTGGCGACGCCAGCAAATCCATCTGTAAAGGCGCCAGGATCATGCCAATAACGAAATCCAATGGCGGGGGCGCCGATGACTCCACCAGCGGCGTAGCTGTAGGTAGAGGGAGTTAGCAAACTGGGCACTTGGCTACGGGTGGAATAGTATTGAGGAGAACTGACACAATGCCGAATATGTAATATGCGAGCAAGCCGGCTAGTTTCAGTAGGGCGAGCCAGAATTCAGCTTCTCCAAAAGTTTCAACGCCAAGCAATTGAAAACCGAGAAAGGCAAACTAATAGAAGTTACTTAGAAATGATTCCTGAGATAGACGGGCCTGCAAGACAACGTACCCACAGAAGGAGAAAGTATCCCCAAACGGGGACTTTATCGCTCCAAAAAGAGAGGATGCTCGTGACGGCATTGTACTCGTTAGAGAGGACGGCGAACCAGATGATGAAGTAATTCCAGCCGACAGCGGCACCGAACGCCGGATCGACCATGCGATCGGCGAGCTTCGTGAATGCGCCGCCCGAGGGATACAGCGTGGTGAGCTCTCCCAAGCTCTGCATGATGCTGACATAACGTCAGTCGGTTTGGGGCTCGCTGCAAGCCAAGCAACCAATGGAGGATGGCGGATGGAGGATGGCGGATGGCCGCTTGAATAACAGGCGTATCTTACCTGAAGGCGATAATGCCGATGACACCAAAGCCGATAATGAGGGACGCTGGGCCTCCATTGGACAACGCGCCACCACTGCCAACGAGCAGCCCGGGCCCGATAATTCCAGCCAATGCCATCATACTCAGATGCCTTGTTTTCAGTCCCCGCTTGACGCCGGAGTCGGGATCCATCTCCCGGTAATCCATTTGATCGGAATCCATATCAAGTGGCCGGGCTGGAAGCGCGCTCGGGGATTTCGGGCCGAACATTGTCGATGAAATATGGCTGCAAGCTGGAGACCAGCGGGAGATGCAGAAGGGGCAAAGCAGGCGAAGCGGACGAAGCGGACGAAGCGGACGAAGCAGGCGAGGCTTTATGGTCAAAGGTGAAGCTTGTCGGTGAGATCACGAGGGACAAGCCAACCTCCCCAACAACACCATCAAAAGGTTCAAGGCCATGGTGCCTGCAAACCCCAGCCTTCGAGCTGATGGCATAGCTAGGTAATCCAGGCACAAGGAAGGGTTTCAATTCGGTGGGGCCTTCATAAGCCCGAGCCTCGAGCGGTGTACCGTTTACTACACTACGTAAGCGAGTCGACGAGCGGATTTGTTTTTTGAGTGCACGCGTGCAGTTCCGTAAGTGCCTATAGGAGCCTGAGAGGAGCTTGAGGAAATACTTCACCAGGATGAGAGAGGTTTCCAAGAGTGGAGCTGCCGACTAACAGGCAGCTAAAGGGCCCAGGGCAGAACCAGGCGCAGAACCAGGCGCAGAACCAGGGGATCTTAGCATTAGATAGATACAGTCTGTAGCAGTCGGCCTAACGTTAGCAGGCCTAGTTTTAGCAGCGTTGGGTCTTGCGGTCGCGCATTGGGTAGGGCTAACCAGCCGCTAGAAGGAAGCCACACAGCTAAGAAATACAGTATCAGATGCTTCTATACACTGTACGTGCATCACGTCTGGCGAGAAGCGGGATTTTCAGGGCAGTCAAGTCAGGGCATGAGAGCTCGGAGCAGGCGCACTCAGGGCAACGGCGACATTCCTAGTCCCAATTGCGCCATCGAGCGAAAATTATGAAAAATGTGAAAGAACGAGAAAGAAAATGAAAAATACGAAGTGTTATTTTATTATCGTATGCATTGCATGAATGAAAGACGCAAAATTATGGAGCGATCATACGATAATGGAAAAACAATCAAAAAAAGAAATCTCAATGATAATTGATCTTTGACAAGAAGGGGATTCGAACCCCTGCCTCTTTCGAGAGTAGAATCCTGAGTTTAACCACAGGGAAGCTATGCGCTTGAGTCTACCGCCATAACCACTCGGCCACCTTGCCATTTGATGGTACTGTGGTCTGCTGTACGCAACCATACGGTAGAGGCCAGCCCGGCAGAATCTAATCCGCACGGGCGAATCAAACGCCGTGCCAGCTGGTAGACTTCGGTGCATACGATAACGAGAGCAAACTGATTGCAGGTTTCGTCTACAGATCGTGCATATTGACATTGATCAATGATTGTCCTACTAATAATTATCTAGCGTGTGTTAATTCGATCATATCAAGAACGTCGTTCACCCGCACATATGTTCGGGCGCGTAGGATGACCAAACGAAGCATGGAAGAAACTCGTGTCACCACCGTAGAACGCTGAATCAACGGGAATAGGAATTCGCTAATCTGTACTCCGGGCCAAATCCGGACTTCCCCAGTTACACACGACCCGACCAGCAACGCCAATCTCAAAAGTAATTTAAAAACCTACCTCGAGAGGGGAACACAAGTCGCTATGCATCATCCGGTCATTCCCTCATATCCAAGATTCTACCCTTACAACTCGCTCCAATCACCAGATGCCTAACGCATATCCAGGTGCCGGCATCATGAGATAGGTATTATGTCCATTGCTCATCAGCGGCTTTTCTTTCTTAAGAAGTGCTATCCGAGCGCTCAGGGGAACTTGTTGCGTCCTTTTCGGCAACAGCGGCATATCTCCGTCGCCTCATGAAGAAACTGGAAGATCACCATGGTTAACATCGTGATCAATTGATGAAAGGAGAGAGAGAAAGGCAGCGACAGAGACAGCGACAAAAGAATAAGAAGAAGGAAGGATTGACTTACTATAACCCGGCTGCGACAGCAATTAAGAACGGCACACCGAGGCCGACAGAAAGGCCGATGACGAGCGGCTTGTTCACGCCGGCGGATTCGGCACCAGATTTCCCAGCGGGTTTTCTGGATTCGTTTGAATCGTTGTTGGAGGCTACCTTTGTGGCTCCTGAACTGGTTGTAGTCGCAGGAGGAGGAGGAGGAGGAGGCGGCGGCACATAGGAGACAGGACTTCCGGTCGTCGCGGCAATGATCTTGCTATTCTTTCCAAAGGGAACCGTCTCCGAGACTGTGCTGTCCGTCGTCGTAGGGAAGGTAGCCTTTGAACCTGAGGGGACTGTGACTACCAATGTTGTTGTACTAACTCCAGTCGCCATGGACTGGAGCGACAAGGGGCAGTTGACTAGACCGGTCGATAAGCACACGAGATTCGAACGTGTGACAGTCTCGCGGAGAGTCGTCGTCGTCATGTCCTCGTCCGCTCTGGCAGTAATTGTCGGAGTAGGAGTAAGAGTAGGAGTAGCCGTGGCGGTTCGGGACTCAATGCAGTCGTCCACAAAAGTCGTGTAGAAAATCGGGATACTCGTCTCCGGTTCGGGACCCCAAGTCTGCGGCCCCAGCGCCAAACTCGCCCCGGCAGCGGCTCCCAGAGCGAATTGATATCCTTGTTGAACGCGGAGCTTGCAGTCGTCATCGCCATCGGTGCCATTCGCGGCGGCGGTGATATTCGTCGTGAACTCAGCCAAGTCGGCATAGACCGCGACCTGCGCGCCTGCGGCAATTGGCAACAGGTTAAGTTGGTCGGAGTGTAATACTGATTCGCTGTCAAACGAGACGCCTGCGTGAACGCCCACGCGTAATGTTGCCGTTATGGCTCCGGGTCCACCACCGCCCTGCACTGTGACGGGCAGGAATTCGAAGGACCCTCCGGTACTAATACCCAGAGTAAGTAAGGTATAAAGTATTCAAGGGCTGGGCTTGGTAGCGAGGTCATTTAAAATGTTCACTTACAGCGTCACGTTAGCAATCTCCTGAGCGAACAGCGCCACATCTAGTGACAATCCATCGTTCATCTTGATATGGAGTCCACCAGTGATGTTAACACTCACAGGTGCATCCACACTCAAGATGAGGTCGATGGGAGTTGTGACCCCTATCAGTGTCTGGCTGTCAATCGCAACCCCGATCTGAGTATTACCGGGGTACAGATTAATCGTGTACGTCGTCCCCGTCGACAGGGCGATATCTGTCAATAAATAGAGCTCCAGACCATCGAATTCGAAATGCAGACCGCATTCAGGGATATCTGGTATGTCCAAGTTGAGACTGACGTTCAAGGGAGGAAAGGAAATATCATCGAAATCGAAATCATCCGTCAGATTCTTCGCTAAGTCTGGAATGACGTCCATCAGATAGTCGATGGTGGCCTCTGTGACGTTCGCGATCTCCTCGCCAACGTCATCGGTGAAGTTCGCTATGGCTTGGCTGATGTCGAAATTTCGGTCGAGGATGAGTTCGGTCGTCATGACTCCTTTGACGTAACATGTTACGCAGGTTACTTCAACGCCGATGGGGAGTGTTATCTCCCCGACCAGGTTCGCACCGGCGTCGCTGTTCATGAAGTTAGATGTCCGCCTCCGAGGCGATAGCTGCTGTAGGTATGCCACGAAAGGTTTTCTCACAATTGTAACAGAACTGCATCTTGCCAGCTTTTCTCTATGTTCGTTGAGTTTTTCGAATTATCACTGCCAGCCGATGGCGTCGCTTCTGGTGTTGCTGATGGAATGGGCTCTGAAGCATTGGGACTACTCGGCGTATCAACTGCGCCCACCACTAATAGTGATACTGGACTGAGTAGGAACGGTATCATAAGATTTGGCTTCATCGTGACTGGAGAGATGAGCGTAATGAGAAGACTCTTTTGGCATCCATGAGCTCACGATGGCAACGACGAGTTTATAAGTACGTGTCCAACAACACAGAACCACAACCTCGGCCCTCGCGGACATGGCTAATAGCGTTAGTGAACGTGTCCATGGGTAAGCGAATCTCTTGATCCCTAATGAGGGCGATGACAGACAGAACCAAAGATACCATCTCTATGGCGACAGGATCGTGGGGCTGGAGTCTCCCTGCATGTTTTGATGGGGAATTTCACCCCTTGCACGTCTCAACTTTCGCATCCGAAAGCAACGCTAAACTGCACGATGTGGTCGTAGCTGAGGTCACAAAAGTTCCTTATTATCTACAATTCTTTCTTATCTACACCGATAAAGTTTACTATAGATGGAGGGCTAAGCTACCGGTGGTATGGTCATTGGCAAGAGAAGCTCGTAGCTGTTGAAGCGGACGAATCAAGCCCGTCACGATATACAAGTGAGGCAGGTGATTTTTATGCTTGTTGGTTCTTCGTGCTTGATGCGGGTTGAGACGATGTAACTCAACATTGCTAATTTTGTCTTTACACAATTTTGTCTTTATACGTATCTGATCTTCGGTTTGACTGCTTATTAGTTGTAGGTAGAAGACACCTCCAGCCAGAGGGAGTTTTGGTAGCGAGATGTGTTTGAGATGTTGTGAGGTTAGGATGAATGTAACCGCAAACTACTTGCCACAGAGCAAGATAGCTGATCCTCGAGAGAGTATGGCATCGAATTTGAGTTGACCATTCATTCGGTCAATAGTGCACAGACTCAGGATGAATAGTGTGACCCCGTTTCCTTTCAACCATGAGATCTACATACTACGACGCTATCTAGGTAAATTGCTATTATACATTACAAATACATAGGCGGAAGTTGACCCCTCACAGTGAATATTGAAACGGAGACCGCGCCTCTGTAATATCGAGCAGACATACATACACACACCGCACCAAGGGAGATCATGGTTCAACTACAGACTAGCACTTCCAAGCGAGTTTTGGAGTGCTAGTTGACCGTGATGAAATAGCTTCAAATGGGAACATTACAGGCGCCACTTGACATATGGCAAAGAAAGTGAAAACGAGGGTAGTAACCTGGATGATGATGTCTACGAGACTCTGTTTCGCACACCTGAACAAACTTGCTAAAGGTCCACTACTTACAAAGGTCCTGTGACATCCCAAAACTTGGAACGGGTTGACGGACCGTACCGGCAATGGCTGGCTACTGACTCCTGAGCCTGGTAATTACTGTTGTGGTTTTCTGTTATCACAAGATCAGTGGGCAAATTTAACAATAAACATAGCAAGATAGCTATGGACTCAACTCATTACATAAAAATCCCCAGTCTTTAAGCGCTTCCTTTTTCTTGCACGGTGTTGTTGTTTTATTCACTTAGCCGCCGTGCCGCAGGATGTTGGTTCTTGGGTTTGGCTGACTGCTTGCATATCCCTTATCCACAGAATGGATTGTTGTGGTTCTCTCAATCTTGTTGGCTGCGGGACGGCCCAAGCCTTCTCTTCCCGTACGAACTGAGACTTGACAGGTTCGCTTACGGTCACGTAATCCACATCAGAGAGCGCCTGAATGAATGAAGAGTGTGAAACGATGCAGATGTGCTCGTCTTGTGATCGCCTACTCGCCTAGGTCTTGACCAGAACTTGACCTAATAAGAAGTAGATAGCTAACCGAGGTCCGCAGCACGGTCCATTGAACTTTCGCTCGTGGTATATAATTCTCAGTATATTATATCGTTCCTCGAGCACCAAAGACGTCGTTGCTGTAGCTATGTCCTGGTAATGTCATTGGGTGTGCCCATGCCCATGAATCCTCCGATCAAAGCTAGTCGTTGCCTGCTGAGCAGCGTCATTCGCGTTCGTATGGCTTGTTATTGATTGGAGGGATCGGCATCTCTGGCGGCAGCATATTCTTGGCAGGTTCATTAGCGTTGCCCAATGAAGGCCGTGGCATTGTAGATGCTCTCCAACCCAGTCGGAATGGCCTAATTTCAGAATTCAGAAGGTCCCTTCATGATGATGTGGAGGTTCACCGTACAAGTGATACTTAGGTATCTAGATAGGTAGATAGATAGCTAAGGCGGCGTGTGAGTTGAATGTTTGTTAGTGTTTTGTATGAATACGACAGCCATTGCGCTATCGGGAGCTCCCCACCCTCTGAAACCCCTCTACTCCTGAGGTGGGTCCCTTACGTAGTAAAATTCATAGCGTTTATTAGTTAGTTAATTAACGGGGTCTGTAATTACCACATCTACATGGGTTGATGCATAATGCTCATCGTTGCATG